ATATATATATATATATATATATATATATATATATATATATATATATATATATATATATATATATATATATATATATATATATATGTATATATATATATATGTATATATATATATGTATATATATATATATGTATATATATATATATATGTATATATATATATATATATATATATATATATATATATATATATATATATATTATATATATATATATATATATATATATACATCTCCAAATAAGTCGTAAAATCTCAAAATCTTCAAATAAGTCGTAAAAGGCTGGATATCTATAATGAAACTAACAAGTTTTGTCACATGCTTGAAATGAATGAGCATTATGGTTGGCACTAAAAATAATCCAAATAGCAATTTAAAAAAAACTACCCTGAAATATTCGAGCTAAGATCTTCTAAGGATTTAAGCCTTAAAAGATCACATGATAGGTAGTTACTAGCTCTTTAGAAAACTCCCAAGACACCATGACACTTTTTTTTTATATTTTCTACATGTAAAGCAAAAGTAATATTCCAATTGAGGGTTACTTCTAGTAATTTCACAAACTTGACTGGTTTAGTTATACAATTGTCTATCACCTACCGTCAAGTTAAAGACGTAACTGATTTTGATTTTGAAAAAGAAAAAGTTTTATCTACTTTTATCTACTACTACTAAGAAAAAGTTTTATCTACTAAGAGCTTTATCTACTGGTAACAACACTCTATTTGTGTAATTTTACTGACAAACACTTGCAACAGATTTTATTAGCACCAATTATATGATTTTTCATGATAGTAAATAATTAAGCAAATCTGGCTGTTCATAGTTAAACAAAATAAATTTACATAAGATAATTCATCTGCAATGGATAAATTTTATGATATTGAAATTCCTCAAGGTTTCATTGGTTATAAAAAACATTTAATGCGCGATTGTCTACAGAAAAGATACAAAAATATTTTGCTTGATAAAAAATCTAGATTTTGGTTGAATAACCATTTCCAAAAGGTTTTACTATACTGGGATTATGAATAATTTCATATTCATTCAGTTTGAAAATAATTATCATTCGAACATTAATCAACCATTTCGATTGTGTTACTAACATTTAAATAAAGTTTAATTTTGTCAAATAAGAATACGGTTTTTTAAATATTTTTAAACTATCTTAAGAAAATCACAAATAATTTTATTAACACGAAGACTGTAAGCTAAAAATGTAGAAATAAAAAGGTTGAAAAAGCCCAAAATAAATTTCAAGTAACAGTGCATTATAATAAAAAACATATAAGGATTTAAACCAAATTATGACTCAAACCAATGGCGTAGATAGATAATTTTTTGATGATTCAGAAATGACACTTTCATGTCTTGTGTAAACCAAATTTAAGTATATTCATGCTTATGTCAAATGAGTTTTACAAAAAATTGCGGCAATTAAATAAATATAGAGCGTGGGAATCAAAATACCCCAAAAAGGTCAACCCTTTCTCTTATCCTTAATGTGAGAATCTTGATTAATTAAATTTTTTTTTTGTTTTTTTTTACTATCTTAAACTAAATTAAAATTTAATCTAATAACCATTTAGCGTTTGAAAGTTATGATGAATTAGGGTGGAATGCAAGAAGCAAACTTGAGTCAAGTTCGACTTGAACTTTATTTTGTAACCAATAGCGGCAGAGTATTTTTTGAGGAGAAAACCCATACTATGTCGCTATTGGTTATAATGTAAAGTTCAAGTCGAGCTTGACTCAAGTTCGCTTCTTGCATTCCACCCTTAAAGTTTAAGACCTCCTCATTTTGGGGAGAACGGAAATGTTAATTGATTATTACTTTCAAACACTAAAAAATTATGAGATATAGTTTTAAAACTTGTTGATGAATTTTAATTTTTTAATTTATTCATCGCTCTCATGTTTGGGGCAGCTGGGGTTTTCTTTTGTGGCATATCTTTGTTCCTAGGTTTCAAGAAGCGTTTCTAATGTAGCTCGGTGGTAAGGCTAATTTATGCCTTCTTCTTACTTCAGCCTTGTAAACATTTTAAAACGGCGAAACAAACTAAACTTAACTAAAATAAATATGAAAAAACATAAAAATAATTGAGTTTGGAGATGACATAAACATGCACATAATTAAGTTTGAAGATGACATGAACATAATTAAGGTCACAAAAACATAAACATAATTAAATTTTATTAAATAAAAATAAACATAATTAAGTTTGGAGCTTGCACAATGCTTAGAAGTGTCATTTCTGAAGCATCAAAAAATTTTATTTACGTCACTTATTCAAACAATGACATATTAAGATAAAGAAAAATAATATTGATTAATTCCGCTGTGTTTTTTTCAATATACTAAAAGTTCAAATTTTTGTATTGGAGTTGTTTTCATAATACAATATTATGGAGTAATAGAAAATCTATATATTTAATGGCTGATTTTTGAACGCTAGTTAAAACATTTTTGACTGTTTGATGACTCAAGTATTTTCATAAGCGAGACCCTTAAAGTTTTTAAAACTAATTTTATTTAAAATTACAATAGGATACCTTTTCCATACGCGATAAGATATCTTGCGAGAACCTTTTATGTTTTTAGACAAAGGAAGACTTTTCCTCACTTTATTTGATTATACTTTTGAAAGTTCTACATATACTTCTCTAATATAAAAAGAAACTTAGGATGTAGTTGTCTCGTTGCCTTTAAATTCACTAAATCCTAATTATGGCTTTTCAAGTGTTAAGAAGTCAAAAGTTTGGCCATTCATAACTCAGGAACTACAAATATATAGAAAAAAAAGTTTTTACAAGTTTCTTCCTTACCCAATCAGCTTTGTATTTATAAAATTAAGCGTGATTCTCTAAAAATGACTCTTAAAGAAGTTTGTTAATAAGTGATATTAATATTATCTCAGTTTTTGTTTAAATGCTATTAAAAATAAAACAATATATTTTTTACCATCAATACAATATAAAAAATGTAGTTTTTTATACAACCTAAATTTTACTTTTTTTTTTATACAACTAAATTTTACTTTTTTAATTAAAAAATATTTACCAAAAGAAATAAATATCTACGTCAAAAAATCTTTGCAAAATTATTTTCTATTTATTGCTACCAAAAATTAATATTATGAATTGTAAACTAATTATTACACTATGGTTTTAATCAAAATTATAGTTGTATTCATCAAAAACATGTTCAAAATACTTGTTAGAGACATGTTCGAAATACTTGCAAGAGAGATGTCCGAAATACTTGTTAGAGACATGTTCGAAATACTTGTTAGAGACATGTTCGAAATACTTGTTAGAGACATGTTCAAAATACTTATTAGAGACATGTTTGAATTATTTGTTAGAGACATGTTTGAACTACTTGTTAGAGACATGTTCGAAATACTCGTTAGAGACATGCTCGAAATACTTGTTAGAGACATGTTCGAAATACTTGTTAGAGACATCAAATAACAATCTTTACTGTTGAAGTTTATGGTAAAGGTTTTTTATGGTTGCTTATATAACAGATAAAAACGATCATAACATGCGTAAGTATTTGTCTTTTTTTTTTGGAAAAAAAAACTGAAAGTTTATTTATTATACGGTTATTTGTATTTCTTTTATATCTTTGAGAAATGCAAAACAATAATTGTAAACAAATAAAACGTAATAATTTTTTTAAAGGTTTACGCAACCAATTTAAAGTAACGTTTTAAAGACCAAAATATTTCGTTGTACAGCTTTAAAATTTGCTACTTTTTAATACTTACAAGTTTTTTTTCTCTTGTTTTTCTCATGTTATTTCTTGAGCATTTTTTTCGAAGTTTTTGTACTTCTGCTTCTACCTTTTCTACAGAAATATAAAGTTGATGATCATTTGTATTTTAGACATTCTACATGCAAACGTAAAAATTACCTTGGTGATCTGTGGTTTGGTGCCTTTTCAGCACTATCTCTTATCTCTTATCTATTATCCAACTATATCTCCAAAATAGTAAAAAGAGACGTATAAAAACCATATTTCTTACTAAGATAATTAACTTCGTTTTATAACCGCCCGTTTAAAGTTTTTTTCTTAAACGGACACTCAAATTCTCCGTTAGTTTAACGGGGAGTTGTGAATACGGCGACAGTTTATTTTCCTTAGCCGGTGATAAGTTTTTATATATTTTTAAGATGGGTATAGAGTTCTCAACATCTTGTGAAATATTCTAAAACAACCCGCTTAACTGATTCGCAGAAATCTGATCTAAAAGTTGATGCAATATATTTGATAAAGTTGTTGCGCGTGTAACATTTAACTTATGTTACACGCGCAACATAAGTGTTGCGCGTGTAACATAATTTAAATTGAATGGAACTGCCCATATATATTAAACGAAATAAAACTATTTTTATAGATTTAATTTTTTGATACAAAAAATATGTATATATAATAATTATTGTTGACTATTAAAGGATAAAAAGAAGTTTTTATTTATTTAGCTAGTTAACTTTTTTGTATATTTCATTTTTATAACTACGGCGGTATGTTGAGATGATCTAAAAAGTCATTTCAAAACAATTTTATCCGATTGTCTAATTTAAGCCAATAAGATTTACATTTTTAAAATTAAACCAATGCGATTGCGATGAAAATGGGAGACCCCTTAACAGAGCCAAAATTTCAATACAGCTATTTTATGTGAAAATTAATTTTATGTTAAAATTTTACTTAAATATACTTATAAATATAAATATACGATAAAATAAAATCAAAATTAAACATCTTAAAACATTTTTGAAGCAAGTTATATAAAAATTTTGTTTCTGACTAGTTCAAAAAAGTTTTATTCGATTTTGCAACATATCTTTTTCTCATCACATCTATTAGTACCAATCAATTTTATTGCAACAATTTAATTTGTAATTTGCGATAAGATTAAAACATACTTCTTTTTTTTTTTTTTAACAATTTAATTTTACTTGATGTTGTTAAAAGATGATTTTTATAATCATGTTTATATAATTTTTGCAGTAAAACATTTAAATAATTAAATAAAAATTCAGTTAATATAATGGACTTATTTTGCAAATAACTTTGAATATCGATTCAAAAAGTCCTGTAAATATTTTTCAAGCCTGTTCACAAATAACATATTTTACAAATACAGAAGTTTACAAATAGAGTTCAGGTGCTTCATTAAAAACTATAGATAAAATGTTCTCGAGGAAGACATTTTTAAAGAAAATTTTTATTATTTTCATTTTATTTTTATCAACATTCATATTTTGGTCAATTATTACAGATGAACTTATAAATCAGTCAAGTATAATTTGGTTAAAGGAGAGACAGTCATTGATGCAAAAATATTTTGATCATCGTAAAAATTTTCCTATAAAAAACACTCTTCCAGCCTGTGTCGTTCCGTTTCTAAATGCATTTAGCAGTGAAGTTTTACCTTTTATGAAGATTCGTAAGCTAGGATGTCCAATTAAACAATATGGCTCAATTGACAACAAAGGTTTCTTCAAGATCCTTTCAAGTAAAACAATATCAAATGTGAAATTGTTTTATATGTATGGCATCGATATTCTACAAAATGATTTCATTAAAAATTATGGTGTAAAATTTTCTGCGCCTATTTATCTTAGATCTTTAGCAAACGGTAAGCATTTTTTATTAAATCTTAGGTATATATATATATATATATATATATATATATATATATATATATATATATATATATATATATATATATATATATATATATATATGTATATATATATATATATATATATATATATATATATATGTATATATATATATATATATATATGCATATATACATATTAAATATATACATATATACATACATATATATACATACATACATTACGACGTCCAAGAAATATACATAATATATATATATATATATATATATATATATACATATGACATAAATGTATACTTATGTATATATATATATATATATATATATATATATATATATATATATATATATAATGTAAAAGAAAGAATATATATATATACATATATATATATATATATATATATTTATATATATATATATATATATATATATATATATATATATATATATATATATATATATATATATATATATATATATATATATATATATATATAAGGGGTATATTTTTTCGGAAATAGCATAGCAGCAAAAGATTAACTTTTACTTGCATTAACATAAAATAATAATCCACATAAAAAAAAACTTTTTTAGTGTGATCAATATGTTTTGTTTTTGGTAAAAATGATGGAAATGATCGATCTTACCCATTTAAAATCATTTGTTTGTTGGGGGGGGGGGGGGTAGGGGAGGATTTGTTAAATATTTTTTCTTTGTACTATAAATATAAAACATTTTTATAATTGTACATTTTTTTATTCAAAGAAAGACTATTTTTAGGTTTTTATCCAAAAAATTTTATCTGTTGTTTTAAATTTAAAAAAAATGATAAGCTACAACCATTAAACTTACTTGCTTCTATGTCTTCTTTTGTTTCTGAAATTTTCTATAAGTCTAGACTAAAATTAATAGCATGTTCTGCACCATAATGTAGAACAAGAAGAACAATAAAATATTTTTTAAAATCTTTTATAATCTGGAAATAAGTCCCAGTTTGAACTGGTTTTCAGCCATTTTATTTCATGTTATTTCATATTGAACAAATAAAAAAAAAACAGTTCTCAGTTCCTAAAAATCTTTAATTGTAATAAATCTTTAATAACTTTTAGACTTTGCTGTTTGAGATAATTCAAGAATTAGTTTATGTAATTAATTTGCAGATAAACATTTATCAGCCAGGCACATAGCCATAAATCTTTCATTTAAATACTAACTGTGTTTTTAAAGTGACTTTAACACATATTTCATGAATCAGCTTTTCTTATTGCAATGATATAATATTAGGACACAAACTGTTAGTCACAAACTCCATGTGACATAAATTTGGCATAGTGTAAAGCCATTGGAAATTTTCTGTTATAAACAAACGGTTGTTTGTTTATAATTTTAGAAAATTTGCACTCAGTGCAGCCAAATCTATTCCAAATCATAATTTAGTTAGAGCTAAATTTTTTTCAATACTTTTTTAAATAAAAATAGAAACAACCTCAGTCTTTTTAAAAGGCTGGAGATACTGTTTATCTAATTATCTCCATTATCATTAGGTATCTAAACATTTTATTGTCTCCTTAAATATTTTACAAACCAACTTTTCTTGAACTGATGAACTTTTATAATCTATAAATTTTTTTCTTACTTCAATTTTTATTTGGCAAACAAATTTTTGTGCAACATTTTTTAAACATTCAATCCTTTCTGATTATTGAGAAAGTTTACATCTTCCTGCCTACTTTTTAAAACTTTTTTTTTATCTTTCAAGATAATATCTTCACAGATTTTTTAATTTTCATCAAATACATCCTCCTCTTTTAAAAACCACATTTTTGTCTAATTAGTTTTGTGTTTGTTTAATTTCTTTCTATTCCTTTTTAGATCAACAATCTTGTCTCTTTATAGAAAATCAAAAGTAAAAGAGTTCATTAAAAATATTGTAACTAAAAAAAAATTATATATTGATATTTTTATCATGAAAATATATTACTTTATTTTTAAGTTAATTTAAATTTGGACTGAGTTGTAAATTTATAAGCATTTTACTATAATATAGTAAACATCTGATATGTGAGTCTGGTTAGAATTGTCAATTTTTTAACCATGAGACAACCTATTTCAATAGATTAAGCGGTAAAAAAAAAGACACGAAGCTATATTAATTGAAGCTTTAGAAAATTGATACATTGCATAACCTCCGTAATACGGTTTTCTTAACAAGTAATTGTGTTATGGCTTATATATTATGCGTTATGTGTTATATATAATTTCAATTCTTTTTCCAACATAAAAAACTTTGCAATGAAATAATTTTTTGCAGAAATTGCTTGTTGACATTATTTCACAAAATTCTTTTTTAACTCCTCTCCCCCTCAACTTCCCAAAAATATACATCTTGACTTCGAATGGGTAGAACTGACTATTATAATAATATAACCTTCGTCTTCACTAAAAAAATAAAATTAATATTTAAAAAAATTTAATATTTTTATTTAATATTCAGAAATTTTTTCGAAATAATTATGTGATTGAAATTTTTTATTTATGAAAAAAAAAAAACATGTTTATTATAAAAAACAATTAGTAGCTAAAGTTTAAAACACATTTTAAATACTTTAAAAGAAACCATGCTAACCCATGATTACTTTTTTCGTTAAATATAACGTTACTTTTAGAGGTATTCCATGAGAAAGTGGGACAAATTTTCAAGATTTGTAACCCACCATCTCAGATTTCCTTCATACTTTGTAAAATGGTCACCTATAAAACATAGACTAACTTGCAAAATTTTAGCACTGATATCAAAGAGGTTTGGAAATATTTTTACTTTAAAATTAGCTATTTTTAGCAGGTTTTTTTGTTCGGTTGCCATTTTGATTTTACTATAGTTTTTGTTTTACAAGTTACTGTTCAACTATTCGTGTAATTAGGCTGAAAATTAGCACCAGCATAGTTTTTAAGACAAGGAATCAGAATATAATATTTGTTTTTAATAAAAACAATTAGAAGTTTATCAATATTGGGATTGTACTTCACCTATAGCTAAGCTGACCAATGTCCTACTTTTTACGAAGGAGAGTGAGCGCCAAATGTAATTAAAATTTAGATTTTTACGGCACTCTCCTACAAAAATAGAAGGACGCTGGTCACCTTACTATAGCTATTTTTAAAATTTTAACAAAAGCGGAAAAGAGGTCTGGTAACCGTGGTAGCATTAATTTTTTGATAATTTTTTTTTGTTCTTGTTTAAATAGATATATTAAAGAGTGTTTTGGTACAAAATTGAGAGGTGGGTTTTTCGAGGATTTTTATAAATAGTTAAACGAATTTTAATACAAAAATGTACATTTGAATGTTACTTGTTAAGAAATTGCTTATTTTGAAAACTTCCATTATAAGAAAAAAAAACTATTAACAAAAGTTTAAATAAAAAATTTATCATAAGTTTAATATATTGAATCAAAATAATCAAACAAATACAAATTTTAAATAAAAAAATAGTCCAGAACTTGCATCTGAATAATTTTTAAATTGCTTATAAAAGAAAACTGGTGTAATATGAGTTAATTTAAAGATTGCATTTAAGAGGTAAACAGATTTTATCTGTTGACCAGCCTTGCATCCCTTTCTAATCTATTAGGCTGGCGCAGATGTGTTTTTAATACATTGTTTCCAGTTTAGGATGTTGAATGCTGGATCTTCTTGACTCGATGCATAGGTTTTGCTTGTGTCTCTGTTTTTATGACTTGGCAACTCATTCTATTATCTCCTAATGAGGGTACAGCTCTAAAACTCAGTTTTATGGTTCTGAAGCCAGCTGGTAGTCAGGTTTCCCAAACTCTGTGGTAGCTCTCAGAGAGGCTGATTTCATTAACAGCTAAAAAATATTAAAGTATTAACAGTGCCATGTTGCGCATGGATGTTGTCCCTGTTTTTTTTTTTTTTTGGGTGTACATTGCGATGGCCACATTAGAGCCCTTTGTTACGGCATAGGGTTTATTAATAGTAATGAGGCAATTGCTTGGGCTATTAAACAGTGTACTGAGTATTATGTATGCTTCGAGTAAGTTCTTTAACAAATTTAAAAATGAATAAAGTAACAAAAACTATAAAACACAAAAAACCATTGCCATCACCAAGGTCTCTAAACCTATCGCTCACTAATACTCATGTTCTTCGAAATAACTTTTCTTCTGTTGAGTCTTATCTCTTGCAAAGTTCACCAGACCTACTTGCTCTTTGTGAGACTAATGTGAGTTCAGCTGTCTCATCTTATGATCTTAGTGTTGATGGTTATCTTCCTTTAATTCGTAAAGATTCCAATAGTCACATGCTTGGCCTGGACATTTACATTCGTAAGAATTCACCCATTTGTCAGGAAACTAGGTTTGAATCCACAAATTACTCTTTTATGTGTTTCGTTTAGCACCACTTTGCGCTATCACCTTTCTCTTTGTTTTACATTGCTCTCCTTCATCTAAACTCTTCTTGATGTTATTTCTGATCATATTGACTAAGCCCTCTCTCTTTATCCATCATCCAATCATCCAATATTGTTGTTGTCGGTGACTTTAATGCTCATCACACTGAATGGCTTGGCTCTAGTGTCAGTGACTCTGCAGGCATTAAAGCCCACAACTTTTGCTTTTCTCAATCCCTAACTCAAATAGTCAACTTCTTTAACTCACTTTCCAGACAACATGAATCATTTACCATCTCTACTCGACTTATGTCTTGTTTCTGATCCTAGCCAGTGCTTAGTTTCTCCACATTCACCCTGCCTCTGATCACAGTTTGATCTCTCTAAAACTATCTCATTCTTCTTTATCATCAGAATCCTCCTATCATCATTCATCTTACAAATATCTTAAAGCTGATTGGGACTTTTTCCGTGATTTTCTTTATGATGGCCCTTGGGTAGAAATCTTTTGTCTTCCTGTTGACAAATGTGCTTCTTACATAACTTCGTGGATTCAGGCTGACATGGAATCTTTTATTCCCTC